TTTTAATTTTTTTTTTTTTTTTTTTTTTGTAGCATTTTTACTAAAAGAAATTTGTCTTTTCCCTTTTTAAATTCTTTTTCATAAATATAAATTAAAAGAAATTTCTTTTTTTCATGAGAGAGAGAATGGGCCCACTCCCAAAAGCAAAACATTAGAAGGCCCACTAAAATGTGGCCCAAAACGATTTTATGATCCAATGTTGTTTTGTTTTAAATTGACTTTACATATTGATTGAGACTCCATCTTTTTTTTATTAAAAAAAATGGTAATTTTATTTTTATTTTTTTAAAAAATAATTCTAAATATTAAATTATACAAAATATATCCTATGTTTTAAATTACAATATTACCCTTGACTTTTTATAAACCGTTCGAGACTATCCTTAAATAAGAATCCATTAGAATATTAGATGAAAAATAAGAAGAATTCCACATCTGTATGGTTAAGATGGCAACAAGCTTAAGAGTTTGAGGTTCAAGTCGAAGTTATCTCCAAAAAATTTATAACGAGCTTGTGAGAGTTCCACACTGGTTGGGGAGAAGAACGAAACACCCTTCATAAAGGTGTGGAAACCTTCCCCTAGCAAACGCGTTTTAAAACCTTAAAGTTACTACATGCATATTAAAATATAAATATATTTAATTTTCGGGAATATTCCATTACGACTTAATGAAAGCCATATTCATTCTTTGACTTAAAATCACATCTCCATGTGCATCCAACCTCCATACCCTACATTTTTTTTTAATATATTTTTTTAACTAAATAATATAAAAAAAAATTCAATATTATTTTGCACCGAGTACGACATGATCATGTTAACTACTTATCTCAAATTGCTTCTAAAATCGAGGACTATTCCCACAGTCCAGCACGTGTTATTTTAGCATGTTTTGTCTTCACTTACAAATAATTCATAACAAATCACCCAACATACAATTTCTCGAACCAAAATATGCTTAACTTTTAGGGTTTCTATGTTGAGAAACCGAGAAGAAACGTGCATATTGTTGATATAAATAGTAACTATTTTTTCTTTTAAACATTTCTTAATCATGTAATTTTCTGTTATTCATATATCACTAATTGTTCGTAATTTTTTTAAAATAATTAAAAAAATGGCTATAAAACTATTTTAATGTATGAAAAGAAAAAAATGATTTTGTTTTTTTACAGGGAAATGTCATCCTTGACACGTCAGCCACGTGAAATGTTGTTGGCTGACTAGGACTTTTTTTTTTAAAAAAAAAAAAATAGAAATTCCGCCTTTATATTAAAAAAAATGTTCTCATAAATCATTTCTAATAAGAAAAGCAACTTAATATTTCGAGATTAATTTTACCGGTTGATATATTATTTATGGAATATATTTTAGATATTATATCTTAATATTCTTTCTTTAGAATATATTTTATTCTCAATATTTAATTAGTTTATATTTTATTTGTCGGTAGGTATTAATGGTTAGCTTGTATTCAATTTAAAGGATATTAATGAGAATACACATTTTTTCAATTCTATTTCTATTTCTCATTCTTAACATTATCCGACTAAAGATAATCTTTAAAATATTTAATTATCGTTAAGTTTTAATATTTTAATTGAATTGTTATAATAAGATTTAAAATTAATCTTTAAATTATTTTTTAAATTATCCGAGTATTAATTTAGTTTTGAACTATACTTTAAAACTTTATATTATTTTTACTGGTTTATCATTCCTTATGAATTTAGTTAGAATTAGTCTTTATAAATTGATAAAAGTCTCATAAATTGGATCAACCAGTATGCTCGACCTTAATTTTATTCATGCAATATACAACTTTCAAGTTTGTTACTCGAACATAATTCATTTGGTAAAAATATAGATTAAATGCTCGAATCTTTCATCATACACGAAACGGGTTTGATTCAACTACTCGTATCGTGGACTTTGTGAAGAGATATGGATACGATAAGAACCTACCCGAGTTGAAAAAAATTAGTAGACGTGAAAGTTTCCGTGTCTTCATAGGCATCGGGAGGTCTCCATGTGGTTGATGGGATTAAAAATATATATATATGTAGCATCATGAGACATTGATTTTGACCTTATGGGTATGTCATTAAATTCCAACAAATAATATGAAATTGGGCAACTCTAAATAAAAAGATTGGGTCTTAGGGTGGAAAATAAATTAAAAGATGACCCTATTTTTGAAACATATAGTCCTACATGCCCATTTTATAAACATTTTGGTCTTTTTTGTGGTTTTTTTCTAAATTTTAAAAAAATTTAGTCAATTTTGAAAAAAAAAATTCTAAATTTCAAATTGACTCATCGGTTGGAGATGATAATGAAACATTTCTTTTCAAGCTTAGGTTGTTACAAACGGTATGAAAGCTAGACACGAGGCAGTTTGCCAATGAGAACACTGGCCCCCGAAGCCCCAAAGGAGGGTGGATTGTGAGATCTCACATTGGTATTAGAGCTAAACACTGAGGTAGTGTGCTAGTGAGAACGCTGGCTCCCAAGTCTCCTAAGAATAGTGGATTATGAGATCCCACGTTGGTATTAGATTCAAGACCCCAAAGGAGGGTGGTTTGTGAGATCCCACATTGGTATTAAATTCAGATATTGGTTGGTGTGTCAATGAGAATGTTGGCCTCCACGACCCTAGGGAGGGTTAGATTGTGAGATCCCATGTTGGAATCAAAGTCAGACACTAGATGGTGTGCCAACAAGAACACTACCCCCAAGACCCTAGACGAGGGTGAATTGTGAGATCTCACATTAGTTAGAGAGAGGAACACGAACCTTATCAAAAGGCTCGCGAGTATCCAACTTAAATTAAGATCGAAATTCAAATAATTTTTAATTTTGTACGGTACGCAAATCACTTAAGACAATTTTCAAGAAAAATCAAACCCTAATTTTTAGTATTTTATTTTCTTTCGTTTTCAATATTCGACAAGTTCATAGATACGGTTTCACATGTATATCAAAAGACGGCGTCCGCTTTAATTTTTCAAAATTATATAATTTAAAAGAAAATTTATATTATTTTAGGGAAATAAATAAGAGATTGAGGATAGAGCAATATATATGCATGCACATGTTTATGTCAACATCTTGCAATTGTCTATTTCTTGACCTTCACATTCATATTTATCTCAAACTTCAAGTGGGAAATTGGCTCATCCACTTGTTTTTTATAATGGGTTTTGAAGAACTATTAATTCTCAAAATACTCATAAATTTTAAATAAATTCATAAAAATCTCTTAAATTATATTCATCTAGACCATGCTATTAATATTAAGAGGCACGAGGTTGGATGTAGACTAAACCTAAACTGTCACACCCGAATAAATGAAGGGTATATTAATGAGCTAAAACCGCATCCGAGTAGAAGCATTGTGAGAATATAATTATTAAGAAATGTTTAAGAAAATTTGAAAGTTATATCTATACTAACAATACCTTATTTTTTCAGTGACTCAATCATAAAAACTTCAAAGTTAAGCGTATTTAGCTTAGAGTAATTCTATGTTAGATGATCTTGAGATTTTTCTTAAAATGCATGTGAGTGAGGACAAAATATGGTAGAAGAACTCACGTTGGTCTATTTAGATAGTATTCATTCTTAGAAACGAGGAGTAATTAACTTATATTGGATTCAAAACATGTAGGTATCCAATTCGAGTTTCGAATTCTTATCCAAATCTTAGGCATAGATCGTTATATAAAGTTAATGGTTGAATGGGTTTATAAACGAATGAGATATCTAAAGATGACATCATAACAAGGTAAGTCATGATGCTCTCTCCATTTGCCGTTCTTTAAATTAGAGTGGGTTTGGAGATTCTCCAAATTATATGGAATGAAAAAAAAAAAAAAAATATATATATATATATATATATATATATATGTATGTATTGTCTTTTAACTTACTTTTGAATTTAAAAAATGACTTGCTTGAATCAAATTTGAATTTGATTTTTAATTTCTAAACGGTCCCTCATAAATTTTTAATTAAATAGGCCCATGGATCTATTGTCTCTTATCTTATATAAAATCAGGCCCAGCCCTTAAAAAGGCCCATGGATCTATTGGATCCACCAAACAAAGGGCCAGCCCATGGTTCTATTGGATCCACCAAAACAAAGCCCAGACCATGGTTCTACTGGATCAACGGAAATCAAGCCCAGGTCAGGGATCTATTGGATTCACCAAAATAAAGCCCAGCCCATGGTTCTATTGGATCCACCAAAATAAAGCCCAGCTCTCTATATTGTTCATTCTAATTTTCAATTAAAAAGGCCCATGGATCTATTGGATCCACCAAAATAAAGCCCAGCCCATGAGCCAAAAGCTCCCTTCATCTAAATGGTCCCTGATAAAATGTTAAATTGATGATAAACCTACGTGATAAGATACTAAACGGAAATACAAAGAAGAAAAAAATAAATTAAAATTAAAAAAGAACACTAAAAACAGTTCACATAACTCAACTAATTCGAACTACCCAAACCACTTGAATTTGGTTGGGTTAGATTTTTTTTTAAACTAAAATTTTAATTAGTTCGTATTTATTCTGCTAGTTATTCCACATATAGGGATCAAAATTTGTAGTTTGCTCAACAAAGTTATAGAAACCATTGGAAATATTCTTATGAAGCAAGGAGACCAACATTGAATGAAAACCATTTAAAAGCTAGGCATAATGAACAACAAGGTCGGGGCATGAAATACCTCTTTTTCTTAAAGCAGAGACAAACCAAGGAGTACATAAGATTAGCCAAACACAGCACAATATCATCTCAGCGATTTGGAAGATAGGTTGAGAGATAACTGTTAGAACAACTAAGTCGATACATGCATTGGAAGTTTGATGGTTAACTAGACGACTTCACAAAATGAGGGGATAGCAATTTTCCGATCTCTAAGATCCCCACATTCTCTCTTCCATCAAATATGGCCTTTAGCTTTTCATCACAATTGATCTGCCTCTTATTAGCTGGGTTCTGCACACCATAATGTGTGTTATGTATCAGCAAAGTCTTCCAAATAAAACAGAAAAGGAAGAAAAGAGGAACTACTAGGTTAATCTCTACAGTTAACACCATTAACAGGATACTAGTTTGACTTACTCCATCAGATAAATTTGGACTAAATTGGTTAGATGTGGCAGGCAACTACTAATTTGCACATGGTACCCTTCTTTCAAGAATGAAAAAAACTCTACTATGAATAAAAAAAATTCATCATGGCTTTCTTTCTTATGGATCCGTGTAGAGAAAGAAATCATGAATTTTCATGAAAAAGACCTAGATTTATATAAAACTCTTCGATAATCTTGTTTATCAAGATATATCTTGGTGTAGCCAATCTAATATTTTCGCTTCCTACAATTATACCACTCTCATTGTAAATTGGGAAGGTTTTTTTAGTAAACTTCTTGATATTATATCTTCTTTGTAGACTTCAAACATCAACGAAATTATCTCTTATAAAAAAATATTAAAAAACAACTATTAGTTTGTAGAATAGGTTGAATTCTAATTTATTACCTTGAACTATGTTAAGGAGTTTATGTATATTGCATAACTTGTTCTAAATAGCATCGAAAGTTATAATTTAGTCCCTATAGTTTGATAAAATACTCCTAAATAATCCCTTCAATAGTCAGATTTTATCAAATATTAGAAACTATGTATGAAACCATAAAGACAAGATTCTAACTTTCAAAGCCACACGATCTCCGAATCATACGGATAAACTCTACAATTAAAACAAAAATTGTTCACATTACAGGGTCAAGGTGGGAGAAGCTTCTTTCGGCTAGATTATCAGTGCATACTCGCACACCCTTCAGAACCCATAGCAAACATATCCACTCATTTGATCAAGAGGCATCAAAGCCCGGTTTAGCCTTTTATGAACTTCAATGAAAGTATTTACACTCAAAATTGGACATCAGGGGGGCTTTCCTAAAAAATATTGGACAGGGATTTAGGTAGGAGCTCCAACCTCTGAGTAGCAGCTAACTTTTTTGAAGAAGGGCATAAACCCAAATCCATGTGACAATAAATGCATTTATGGCCAAAATAGCTTGTTGATTATTCAAGGTACATAGAACTTGGGAACAGAGGGTAAAGATGGTCCATGTTCATCTAATAAATTACGAATTCGATTGCTCAGACTTGAGAATTATTTGGTTCGTGAACTAATAGTGGGAGTTTCCCTATAAATTAACCTATTTTTCGAATTCAGAACTTCCATTTCATAGGCCTTAGATTCATCAACCTACAACAAGGAAGAAACTATATGAAACCAACACTACAACCAAAATTTCAAGCTCTAAGATGAGTTAAAATCAACTTTCAAGGCAATCTCAACAAAATGAAGGAGAAATTAACGAGGCAAACGAACAGGCTGCAGGAAACAAGGAACTACAGCAACAATACCAAAAAAAAATAATAATAATCCATATCAGCAAAAACAGTAGAGAAATGAAAGAACCTGGAGATCATTCAGCTTGATGTAGGACCATATTTGCTTGACGGCTTCAGAACGCGAAGACTCGGACATGCCGAGGAAGCCAGCGAGAGCCGGAGAAACCTGGACGGACTTAAAAATCCCCCCCGAACGATTCCCCTCTTTCTTCTCTCCGGCTTCCGATTTTTTGCGGGTAGCAGCGGCACCTGAAGCTTTTAGCTCCCCCTTGGGAGAAACCGCAGCAGCAGAAGAGTAAGCTTGAGTGGTGGACTTGAGTGAATCTAAGAGGGTTCTGCAACCTCTGAATAACCTAGTGCCATTGTTCAGACCTGACGCCATTTTGCACCGGGGAAGACAGCGTTTGGGTTCGAACTTCAGGGTTTTTGGCCGCTTTTGGTCGACTGAGAGTCTGAGACTGTAAAGGAAATGGAAATGGAGCTTTTAGACTGAGCAGAAGAAATTGGGGGCCCAATAGGAATGGGCTGCCCTATGTTTGGGCCCATGGTGATTGGACTTCCGGTGCCACTGGCCCAAATATTTTTATCTTTCCTGAAACTGTAATAATCAACTTTAAAAAAAACCCAAAATGAAATAGACTAAAATTATTGTAAGGATTTGATAATTATTACAAGTGCACCACATGCTAAAAAGACGTAGGTTGACCATATCTTAAATGGTTTCTAAAATTATTACAAGTGCACCAAAATCAGGCCCAGCCCATGGATCTATTGGATCCACCAAAATCAAGCCCAGCCCATGGATCTATTGGGTGCACCAAAATCATGCCCAGCTCATGTTAGTGACGTGTTGTGATTTTGTGAATGTTTAGTGATCTTTATGATGTGAGATCTCGCGTCGGTTGGAGAGAGGAACGAAACATGTTTTTCTTAGGGTGTGGAAATCGCTCCTTAGAAAACACGTTTTAAAATTGTAAAGTTTACAGTGATATGTAACGAGTTAAAGTGGACAATATCCGCTAGTAGTGGGGTAGAGCCATTACAAATGGTATAAGAGCCGAATACCGGGGGGTGTGCCGATGAGGTTGTTGGGCCCTCACACGAGTGGATTGTGAAATCCTATATCAATTGGAGAAGAAAATCAAACATTTTTTATAAAAGCGTAAAACTTCTCCAACCGTAAAGTCAACCCAAAAGGCTAAAACAAACCATATTTGCTAGAGTTATTATATTAATTTAGAGAAAATATAAAAATATAGCCTTTATTAATTTTGTCCAAATAAAAATATAAATTTAGAGTTATTTTATTAATTTTGGCTAATAAAAAATTAAATTAAGATTTGAAAGATTAAAGCATGTTCCACGTGTTGACACCTAGCTCAAGTTTTCACCGGATAGACCGTTTTCCCGAACTGCACAATGCAGTCGCGCCATCGCTACAAATTCTGGCTAACAGTCCCTCAGCTCTGCTCAGACCAAGAAATATAGCTTAGAGATGGCGGTTTCGTTTTCGCCTCTGCATTTCAAGCCCTCTTTCTCCTTCTCCTCCTCTTCCCTTCCCAAATTTTCCTGCTCCATTCGCCCTGCCGTCATCCTTCCTGTAAGTTTATTCTTTCCTCTCTTTCTATCTGTTTTCGTTTTCAATTTGAATCGTAGCAATGACGATTTCGATTTTGATTTTTAGGGTTTGGGGAACAACTCCGGGGACTACGACAAATTAAGGCTTATTTTGCAAAAGCGGTACGGAGTTCCCTCCGTGGTTGTTAAGGTGTCGAGAATCGACTGGCTGAGGAATGCTGCTGGATTGCTTGATCCTAATTACTGGCGCGGCACTCTCCGGCCTCGGCCTGTCCTCGATTGGTACTTCCAATGTCCAATTTCATTTGTTTAGGCGGGGATTTGGGATATACTTTTTGCGTGCGTTAGGGATTAATTGCTTGATTGTTTAAGCTGGTGAGCAGGTATTTGAACAAAACAGATGAGGCAATCCAAGAAGCCAAGGAGCTTGCTCAAGGTGTTTTTATCTTCGTTTTTGCTTTTTACCTTTGCCCTTTTTTTTTAATTTTTGTATCATTTTTATTGTTTTGATATATTCTTTGAGGGACGGTTTGGGTTTGTTTGTCATTGAGTTGGGAAGCTGAGTTTGGATTCTTAGGCTACTAAACTCACCTTTTAGATTCTGGGTTGAAGATTCTAGGTGGATAACTTAATAACGCTCTCAGATTCTATAACACACTTTACTGCATAATCCAATCTTGCAGTTGTCTTAAGTCAAAGATTCTGGGTTGAAGATTTTAGGTGGATAACTTAATAACACTCTCAGATTCTATATCACACTTTACTGCATAATCCAACCTTGCAGTTGTATCAAGTCAAAGGAGCGGGCATTTGTTTGATGAATTCAACGTTGTAACGGAAGTTGAAACAAAAATCGATCGCACTCACACACTCACAAACAGAAATTAAACAAAGAGATACACAAATTTACGTAGTTCAGAGAGAAGAAATTCTCCTACATCCACGGATGGCAACCAATCTCAATAATCAAAGTGTTTACAAAGAGTATATCTTGTACTCTCACACTACAAAATCTCACTCAACAAAGTTCCTCCCAAAGGTCACTAGGTAAAAACAAAATGACACTCAATTTCAATGTCTCTCAACCATTCTAGACAACCTTTTATATAGGCGTGGAAGCATTAATGTCATACATGAACCAAGATGATTCATGTATCAAAATGGGAGAAGAACAAAAAATGGGTGATGAACCATTCATGAATCCAAAACATTCATGAACCTATCCTTCATGATAAAAGGTGGAGAAATGGCCTTGGCCTTGGATGCTGATGGCTGCATTATACTTGCCAAAACCCTAGCTGTAGGCTTAGCAATGTTTTTCATTATGGTTCATAGCAGTTATATAGTTCTATCATGTTACCTATAAAACATCATTATTCATAATGTTCAAGCCATGGCTTGGCACTCTAGGATGGATCTTGGGAACGAAAGGTAACTAATAAGTAGAAATTTGCATACCAGGAAAGAATAGGGAAGTGATGCGACAGATATTTGTCCCAATACTCAATGAAAATAGATTTTTCCTCTTCTCATTCTTGTTTTGCTGAACTTCATGAGTTTCTGTTCTCATTTACTATTTTTCAACAATCTTAGTGTACTGTAGTTCCTAAAGATCGAATTCTCTCAATCTTTAGGCGAGGCTTTGTCCTTAATTGGGCACTCAGCAGGCGGGTGGCTTGCACGAGTCTACATGGAAGAATTTGGTATATCTCATATTTCCATGTTGCTGACTCTTGGAACCCCTCACCTGTAAGTTCATATTTTTCCTACTTCTTATCTTGCTTCTTCCCCATGAATCTATACTATCTTTGAAGTTTAGAGCTCCATTTTAGTTTCCAAACTTTGAGGCCAAACTTTATGTCTATGTATATGTTATACATTAAGCTTTCATAACATAATGATTTCAAATGTGATGTACTATAGTTGGGGAGGATAGCCAAGGCAAATATTATATGGAGTGGATATCGATGGTAAAACGGTGACAAAGACCAAATAATTCACTTTTAGTAATTGAATTATTACTAAAATAGACATTTTGAAAGTTTAGGGACCACAAGGGAAATATAAATGTATCTTTGGTCGTATACATCAACCTTTTTCATAAGAATGATGGATTACGTGTTTGAATGAATGGTTGTTGTATCCTATCATCCCGAGCTTTGTTAAATTTTCATGTGAAACTAGCAGTAAGATTAACAATGGTTTTTTTTAGGCCACCTCCTAAACATTTGCCAGGAGTGATTGATCAGACGAGGGGGCTTCTGAATTATGTGGACAAATACTGCTCAAAACCTGGTTACAATCCTGAATTGAAATATGTATGTATAGCAGGAAGGTAAATGGAAACTTTGAGATCTCACTCTGTTTTCTTTGCTCAAGAATTCAATTTGTTTCGTCTTTAGGTGACAGTGTGGCCTTATTATCTGGGTCAAATTTTAACCTTCGTTATCAAATTTATAAGAACAGTTTGAGTCTAGAAACAAACTTAGAAAGGAAAACTATGTGGTTCTGTACTATGATAGAGAGAACTATGTAGAGATAGGAGAACAAAAGTTAGAAAAACCTTAGAACTATGTCAAGGAGAGAAAAAACAGGAGCTTGAGATTTTAAAAATATTCTCTGTAAAAATGAAAATTTGATGGATTATCAAATTAACTATGTTAATTCCAGACTTTACTCCTTGAGTCTACTTATAAAAATGTACTGAGAACTGTGTCAAACCGCGCATTGCCAAATGCAGGTACATCCAAGGGGCTCGCTTGTTCAGTTACTCTGATGCAAACACCATTCCTGCAGCTGCTTCCATCGCCAACAACCAACCAGCTCCAGAGTTAACCATAGAAAACAGCACAAGTAGCTCGACAAACACACCCACATTCCGCGCTCGCTTCGTCGGACAAGGATATAAGCAGGTAATAAATTTAAAAACATTGGACAATTGATGGTATATTCATTATGAATATAAAACAGGTTAGAATGATATGTTAAAAGTTGATGTGTCCTCAACCAAAAGATCAAAATTTTGAATTTCCGCCCCGTTCCATATATTGAACTAAAATAATAATAATAATAATGTCGATGTATGACTGACATGATTCAGGTGTGTGGGGAGAGTGAGGTATGGGGAGATGGGGTGGTTCCAGAAGTGTCTGCCCATTTGGAGGGAGCTATCAACGTTAGCTTTGATGGAGTCTATCACTCCCCTGTTGGCTCTGATGATGAACTCAGACCCTGGTATGGTTCCCCTTCTATTCTTGATCAATGGGTTCATCATCTTCTCAATTAATCTTCTTGCCCTCCCCTTTCATTATCTGTCTTAATTGACACAAATCAATAAATTTATTCATTTTTCCATTCCTCCTTGTTATGTTACTCCTTGTTATGTTACTTCTTGTGTACTTTTGTTTATGATCTAACAGACTAACACTAACGTTTATAAATGATTCAATCCCAATCTCCAAGACATAAACTTGCCTTTAAATCCAGTTCCATATTGTTCGTGTTTATTCTGCTAGTTATTCCACATATAGGGATCAAAATTTGTAGTTTGCTCAACAAAGTTATAGAAACCATTGGAAATATTCTTATGAAGCAAGGAGACCAACATTGAATGAAAACCATTTAAAAGCTAGGCATAATGAACAACAAGGTCGGGGCATGAAATACCTCTTTTTCTTAAAGCAGAGACAAACCAAGGAGTACATAAGATTAGCCAAACACAGCACAATATCATCTCAGCGATTTGGAAGATAGGTTGAGAGATAACTGTTAGAACAACTAAGTCGATACATGCATTGGAAGTTTGATGGTTAACTAGACGACTTCACAAAATGAGGGGATAGCAATTTTCCGATCTCTAAGATCCCCACATTCTCTCTTCCATCAAATATGGCCTTTAGCTTTTCATCACAATTGATCTGCCTCTTATTAGCTGGGTTCTGCACACCATAATGTGTGTTATGTATCAGCAAAGTCTTCCAAATAAAACAGAAAAGGAAGAAAAGAGGAACTACTAGGTTAATCTCTACAGTTAACACCATTAACAGGATACTAGTTTGACTTACCCCATCAGATAAATTTTGACTAAATTGGTTAGATGTGGCAGGCAACTACTAATTTGCACATGCTACCCTTCTTTCAAGAATGAAAAAAACTCTACTATGAATAAAAAAAATTCATCATGGCTTTCTTTCTTATGGATCCGTGTAGAGAAAGAAATCATGAATTTTCATGAAAAAGACCTAGATTTATATAAAACTCTTCGATAATCTTGTTTATCAAGATATATCTTGGTGTAGCCAATCTAATATTTTCGCTTCCTACAATTATTCCACTCTCATTGTAAATTGGGAAGGTTTTTTTTGTAAACTTCTTGATATGATATCTTCTTTGTAGACTTCAAACATCAACGAAATTATCTCTTACAAAAAAATATTAAAAAAAAAACTATTAGTTTGTAGAATATGTTGAATTCTAATTTATTAACTTGAACTATGTTAAGGAGTTTATGTATATTGCATAACTTGTTCTAAATAGCATCGAAAGTTATAATTTAGTCCCTATAGTTTGATAAAATACTCCTAAATAATCCCTTCAATAGAGACTATCTATGAAGATTTTATCAAATCTTAGAAACTATGTATGAAACCATAAAGACGAGATTCTAACTTTCAAAGCCACACGATCTCCGAATCATACGGATAAAATCTACAATTAAAACAAAAATTGTTCACATTACAGGGTCAAGGTGGGAGAAGCTTCTTTCGGCTAGATTATCAGTGCATACTCGCACACCTTTCAGAACCCATAGCAAACATATCCACTCATTTGATCAAGAGGCATCAAAGCCTGGTTTAGCCTTTTATGAACTTCAATGAAAGTATTTACACTCAAAATTGGACATCAGGGGGGCTTTCCTAAACAATATTGGACAGGGATTTAGGTAGGAGCTCCAACCTCTGAGTAGCAGCTAACTTTTTTGAAGAAGGGCATAAATCCAAATCCATGTGACAATAAATGCATTTATGGCCAAAATAGCTTGTTGATTATTCAAGGTACATAGAACTTGGGAACAGAGGGTAAAGATGGTCCATGTTCAGCTAATAAATTACGAATTCGATCGCTCAGACTTGAGAATTATTTGGTTCGTGAACTAATAGTGGGAGTTTCCCTATAAATTAACCTATTTTTCGAATTCAGAACTTTCATTTCATAGGCCTTAGATTCATCAACCTACAACAAGGAAGAAACTATATGAAACCAACACTACAACCAAAATTTCAAGCTCTAAGATGAGTTAAAATCAACTTTCAAGGCAATCTCAACAAAATGAAGGAGAAATTAACGAGGCAAACGAACAGGCTGCAGGAAACAAGGAACTAGAGCAACAATACCAAAAAAAAAAAATAATAATCCATATCAGCAAAAACAGTAGAGAAATGAAAAGAACCTGGAGATCATTCAGCTTGATGTAGGACCATATTTGCTTGACGGCTTCAGAACGCGAAGACTCGGACATGCCGAGGAAGCCAGCGAGAGCCGGAGAAACCTGGACGGACTTAAAAATCCCCCCCGAACGATTCCCCTCTTTCTTCTCTCCGGCTTCCGATTTTTTGCGGGAAGCAGCGGCACCTGAAGCTTTTAGCTCCCCCTTGGGAGAAACCGCAGCAGCAGAAGAGTAAGCTTGAGTGGTGGACTTGAGTGAATCTAAGAGGGTTCTGCAACCTCTGAATAACCTAGTGCCATTGTTAAGACCTGACGCCATTTTGCACCGGGGAAGACGGCGTTTGGGTTCGAACTTCAGGGTTTTAGGCCGCTTTTGGTCGACTGAGAGTCTGAGACTGTAAAGGAAATGGAAATGGAGCTTTTAGACTGAGGAGAAGAAATTGGGGGCCCAATAGGAATGGGCTGCCCTATGTTTGGGCCCATGGTGATTGGACTTCCGGTGCCACTGGCCCAAATATTTTTATCTTTCCTGAAACTGTAATAAACAACTTTAAAAAAAACCCAAAATGAAATAGACTAAAATTATTGTAAGGATTTGATAATTATTACAAGTGCACCCTCTTTTTTTTTTTTTTTTTTTTTTAGT